ACAAAGTATTTATTTATTTAATCTATTCAATTGCTTCAGAATTTCAAATAAAAAATTTATTAATAAACTTAGATTCTGTACATTGCCACATAACTTTTTATTTATATCAAGTAAAAACAAAATCTTTTCTGCACATATTCATTCATACATATATATAATCTGAACATTAGCAAACACGAGAATGGATGACAAATATAATGAAAAAGAAAAATGAACAACTATGTACGATACAATATTAAAAAAGACACTTTTTTTATAAGATGTGAATATATATCAGAATGTAGTAGATGATTTATTTATAAGTAAAGCAAGCATTGTAACAAGAAATGCAATACCAATAACTGTTGAAAATATATTCATTGTTAATGTACGTTTTGAAATTTTTAATGTTGTATCATAATCATGTGTACGTTTATGTTCTCGAACACGTACTGATAATATAATACAAATAATTCCCAAAACAAAAAAAAGAAAAAAATTTCCAATGGACCATAATAAATAATCAGGTACATTCATAACATCACGTTCATGTTGAGCAAATTTTAAATTTGCATGTGCAGCTTCAGATGCATAATATTCTGTATCACTTTGTGGTAACCATGAAAATCCACCTCGTTTTTCTAAATATGGTTCAAGTTCGCCAATTTCACGTTTTTCCATTCGTCCAACACCTCTAGATAAATAAAAAAACATGATTTGTTTTGATTTTGTTACAAAGAAAATTAGTTGTACCTATCACTTCGATAACCGGTCACTAGCTGTCCGTCACGCATTTTTTCCTTTTCAATTTCAAGGTAAAATAAAATAAAAACTACCGATTCTGCCGCAGATGGAAGGACGTGTATATAATTTATATAAGCGCGTGAATGTAATTCTGTTAGAGCAACTATATCCTTCTTGTGTGTTCGTTTTTTTTCTCCTCGTTTTTTCTTTCTTTCTTTCTTCCTATTTTTTTACAAGGTTGTTGCTACAACGGTACCACCACACTTACTCAACTCAAAAGAGCAATACAAAAAAGAAGAACATGAAACGAAGAAAAAAATATGTCGTAAAATTTTGTCACAAAAATAAAATTCGTTATTGACCTTGCAGGTGATACTAATCATAAAGAAAAGTTCAGCTTTCGCTCGTCTTTATTCAAAACCTTGACATTGATTGAAAAAATATCACGATTTCAATATATATGCGACATAAATTAAATATTTCTTAAAATTATATGACGATGTCCTTCAATTGAACGAGGAAATCAAAAATGCACTTAATTTAAATAGATGATAGTTAGTGATATAGAATATACACACAGAGATAATATTATCTGATTTTGAATTTTTATTTGATAAATAAAGTATTAATAAGAACAAAATCGATAATTAAATATAATTTTATCTGAGGTCTCTCCTTACGATCTCTCAAATGACCTGACATTCTCAAGATATCTTAAGATTGTCGAGAAGAAACTATAGTAAAAATTTACAGCCCTATATCATGACGTTTGACTGAGATATTTAATAAGCACGGGTTAAAGATAGCGTATTTTGCAAATAGAATTTCTTTAAACGAGTATGTCAGAATGCAGTACGGTGTTCTGATTTTATCAATTCTTACTTCTTAAAAGAAATCATAAGCTGAATGTCGTATACAACCTTCAGAAAACGGATGTTCATTAATATTAGAGTGTATTTATACAATAAATATAAAAAGAACTCTGTTTTTTAACAAGTACATGTAGAAAATTCACCACAAAATACAATACTGATTTGACAATCATGCTGTTTGCGAAAAATCTGAAGACAAACTATCTTTTTATGCATTTATCTCAATTTCGGAAATTGACCTTTATTTTTATTTTAGAAAAAGATTTCTAAATTTATTTGTCTGAATAACAAGTATATGTTATATGAATAAAGATTTACATATGACCTTATCATAGCTTCAAAGTGATCGAGGTTAACAGACGTCATGATTACAAATCAGGACTAATTAATATGGCAATTTCTTGCTTTTAATTATAGCATTTATTCATTTTTAATTTCGTCTAATTAACCTTGCCCTTCGGTAAATAAGAATAATTTAATAGATGTTACCACCTTTAGAGTTAAGGAGGGAAAAATATTTTTTCCATATTTAAAAAGTACTTATAAACAACATATACACCGCAAAAGCATGATATTTTCTATTAGTAATATTTTTTTATAAAATGAGTAAATATATACAAAAAACATATCTATATATATATTCGATATGCTAAACTATAAAAAATTGAAATTATCATGTTTATTCTGATTGAATTGAATCTTAATTTGAAATTAGTAATCAATTAGCGTGTATTTTTTTTCTCGATTTTAAAAAATATATTTTATCTATCGAAATGGTATAGTATTTGATTAATTGCTAAAAATAATTAACTATCGGGTTTCATTTTTAATAGGTTTATTTTCGAAATGAATCTTGTATGAAATCTAGATTCTTTATCTGAAATTATACTTATGTAAATACGCCAATTAGCCTAGTTTTCGTGAGAAAAAGATAGCAAAATAACAAGCTTTTAAGATTAAATCTTTCATTATTAAACTAATCTGTGACATATGTCTAGATTTGAAAAAATTTCCTGTCTAGTTTAACTGAACAAATATTTATAGTACAATCGAATTTTTTATTATACAAATGTACAGGATCTATGATTAAAAAAAGCATCTGAAGGTATTCTCCAACTAATTTCACTTTTATATATTAAAATATTTTTACATAACATTTCATTTCGCTCATCTTTGTCGATATTCTATACAATCTTCAAGAAAAAATTACTCTGCTGCTATTGATTAATTCCCTATACACATGAGAATAAAAACCAAAAGTCTATTTTTGTCTCAAAATAGATCGCGATATTCATGAAAACATTGTTGTCAATACGTCTTCGCTAAAACAATATTATATCACTTTTTTTTTCTTACCTTAAAAATGTTACTCACGACAAATAGTTTGTTATTTATGTTTGAAAATGAACTCTTGCAATAGAGGTATTATCGTTAGTCGATCTCGTCTTTTTCTTTTCTTTCTTCCTGTCGTTTTTTCTCTATTTAAATTCATGTCTCGTTCATCGGTCAAGATTGACATTTAGGTGAGCGATAGGATCAACGGGTCACCGCGCTGTTTTTTCCTTTTTTTTTTTTATATATATCGTTCTTTAAAATTAAACGTCGAACATACAGACAAAGAAGAAGAAAAAAAGAAAAGATTAAAGTGTTGTTATTGTTTCTGAAAAATAAAGACTTGGTGCAAAAACAATTCCACGTTTAATTAATGTTGTAACATCATTTAATTTATCAACTAATTCAGTATTTCCAACTGTTTTACCAGCATTTCGTATATTCGAACATAATTCTTCAATACGCATTATTGTTCGAACAATTGTTCCTTCTTGAATATCTAAAACTTCCATATCTGGATCATACATAATATCATAAAATTTTGCTCCTTGTGCCCATTTATATATTAATGACATAATACTAAAATTTAATTCATCTTCAATATTTGTTGCTATTTTATAATCACGTTGAATTTGATCAAGTCCAATTGCAATATTAACTAGAATAGAATACAAAAAATGATAAATTTAATTTTTATGTATCATCATACTCAATTGTTGTTTAGCTTGATTTAATGCTGGTGTAATTTCAATTTTTTTATTGTCATTAATGTCATTATCAAAACGTTTGCCTTGAAATACAATTGCTGATATAAGTGCAGCTATTTCACTTGCAGTTAAATTATCAATTAAATTTTGATAGATAAGTTCGGTTAATAGAAGTTCTTTTCCACTACCAAATATAGCTGCAACTTGACCTTTTAGTTTTAAAATATTTCTATCTGATATATATTGTAATTTTTTTAAAACTTCAAGCATTGATTCATATTCAGCTGATGTTTGAAGATTTGTTTGAAGTGATGATATACGTTCATTCATTTTTGAGTATTTATTTTCATAAAAATTTAATTTACGTAAATGATGAAATGTTTCAGAAAGATTTAATTCGAATGTTTCATTTTCAAGTTTAAGATTAAGTTCATGAAGATTATTAAGTAATGATGATTGAGATTGTTTGGTTAAAAAATCATTTAAAATATTAAAACGTATTGATGCAACTGAAAAATTTCAAAAAAGTTAATTAATGTATAGAATGAGAAAGGATTTATCTCTTTAAAGTAAGTCAATGTATAAAACATATGGCTACAATGTTTGCTCAGTGTCTTGTATCGAAATTTTGATATCCAAGAAGTCGAACATATCTCAAAAATTGTTATGATTAAGTTTTAAAAACATTATAGTCTAAATGATTTTCAATTGCTCATCGTCACCCAGTTCTCGAAAACATTTAGGCAGGAAACGGCCCATGCCTCGATAATTCCTGGCTACGCTACTGTTCCGATTATATTTCTCTTAAGTATCATCATGGCTACTGTTATGTTCTTGACTCAGAAATCCAATAATGTCTTCTTCATGAGAATTTCCCTACGTTTTTCCTCTCACTATTTTTTCTTCGCTGTTCTTGTCTTCGATAATAGTTCATTCCGTCTTCTTCCTTTATACCTAATGACGACACACTCTCTTAACGTATGTTAGTCATACACAGAACAAACAATAGATCTATAAAGGAGAAAAAAAAGACTTGGTAAAAAAGACATGGGAAAAAGATCTGAAAAAAAACTGGGGAAAAATCCAACTGTCGTATTATAGAAGGAAAAAATTGTATAAAAATACTAAAGCATTTTCTGGATATTTTATTAGTATTAACCTATTGAAGTATATTTACTAAAACATCGAAGCGTACCTCTACAAACTATTCATTCACTGGTTTATCTCAATGGCAGCTAAGTCATTCAATAAGGCGATTCAAATCGATTCAGCAGCTATAAAAATTATATCGAATCAAGCCACTCAATTAATTAAACAAATTCAAAGAGATATTAAAAACGAAAAGGAACTATCTAAGGAAACCAGCAAAACGTGTAATACAATTTTACAAAATGCTCAAAAACAATATATTCGTATACAAATTGAATTTGTTGAAGAAACAAAAATACTTATTACAAAAACTTTAGAAGAACCAGATATACGACTTCATGAAACGTGGCTGCATGTCTTCGATATGTTCGCAACAAGATGTGAACAAGTAGCTGGTCCAATTTTGCAAGTGTTAAATTCTGTGGCTCTTGAAAGCAATCGTTTGAAACATAAATATTACAGTTTTGTCGCTGGTGCCACAACTTCCTCAGTTGTATCTACAGTTCTAATTGGTGGACTTATAGTGCATTATTTGCCTGCTACTGTATGTGGTTTTACACTTACTGCTGGTGGAGTCGTTTTAGCAGCAAGTGGAGCACTCTTGGCAGCTGGTTTAGCTATTGCATGTATTATTGGAGCAATGAAGATAGAAACAATACGAGCTGTATATGATAAATGCACAAGTGAATGACAACTATTATTAACAAAATATCTTCCTTGTATATTTAATGCACAGAAAAAAGTTATTACAAAAGAGGAATTAAATAATGCTATTAAAAATTCACTCAATGAGTTCAAAATAAAAGAAGAGGTATGGACTAATGTGAATACATTAGAGATGTTAAAACGATCAACAGATCGAGTACTTGATGATTTAAAACAAAAATTATAACAATGAATGGCTATATATATATTCTAGAAAATCGATTTTTTTACTCTATGGACACAAATTATGGTTGATTATTGTCATTATTAATACTTGAAGTTTAAAGTTACTTATCTACTGTCTCTTGAAACATATTGTAATTGATAATTTCTTCTGTGATACTCATAATAAACGAAAACTAGAATGTCTTAAAATACATGTGTAATATTTACAAATCGTGTCGAAAGAAAAGCTATATTTTCATGATATAGACGATGGTTTATTTAGCTATTCAGCTAAATATTTTTATAATCATTATTTTCTGTAAATACTGGAAAGATACATGTAAGATACTTTGGAAATAAGAATTAGTAAGTCAGTCTCTTAGTAGATTATTATTTGTAAGACTTTGAATGGTAGACAATTCACATTTAAAAATTGCGAGAAGAAAAATATTATTCGAAGTATTGTATCAAGTGCTGATTAAAATATCAAAATGAACAAAGATAAAAGTGTGTCTTTTTTATTCTGATTAATTTCAAGAACGAAGAAGATTAAAATACTGTAGATCGTTTCAGGAAATAATGTATAATAATATACTCCTAAAATTGTTTTATAAATTTATCTATGTTTAATTTGTTGACAGATGATATGTGCAGACTATTGTGATGTCATTCTATATCAAAATATTATCATGATAAATATCTAGGACGGAGCTTGTCTTTCTTTCTATAAACAGGTATTCGTTTGCTTACGCTTCTCTTTGATTATTAGTATAAAGAAAATTTTAATAAACTTACTTGACTGATTATTGACATTTTGTCTATGAATTTTTAATTTTTCAATTAATTGTCTTAATGCTTTATCATGTCCAATTGTAGATTCTAATTCAATATCTAATGTATCATTCATTCGATGATTTGAGTGACCTTCTAATACATCATTATAATTTATATTTGGTATAATTTCATTTGTTATATCAAGTAAATCTGTCATATTTATATTTTTTATTTGATATACAAATTTTCGTTGTTCAGAGTTATTTTCATCTATTTTCCATTTTTGTACAGGTAATATAAATAAACTTTCATCTTCTTTTAATATTATTCTATCTAGATCAGTTAATAAACGATCTGTTGATTGACTTATAACTAAAACCGATATAATACGTTGATGATTAAGATTTTTTCCTGATGAATTAAATGATCCATCAAGTACAATAGCAGGTATATCTATTTCATATATATCACGTATACGTATAATTCGTCCACATTTAAGTAAATCATCAAGTAAACGATGAGAATTCTTATCATATTTTATTAATAATTGTTGAATATTATTCATAATATTCCAATATTGTTGACATTCATTGAAATATGTTTTAAGTTCAGGTGTCGAAAATGTTTTTACTAATTGTTGAAGTGTATCAATTGTTGAACGAAGTTTACTTCCAGCTATAATATCACGTGCATTTGCTTTTTGACTATGATATTCCGAATAAGAACTTGATACCATATATTCTAATGGACATTCAGCAACACGAAGAAAATTTAAAATCATTGAATATGTTAAACGAAATTGTGATTGTAATTGTGCAGATTTACCCTAAAATTTAGTTTTAAAATTCACATATTATATATTGAAATTATTTACCAGTATCATTGATTTGAGTGAAGCTATAGAAGGAACATCACCTTTACATAATGCAATGACAGTTCCTGTCTTATCTAAACCACGACGACCAGCACGGCCTGCCATTTGAATATATTCACCTAGAATTTTAATTATTTACTATTTATTGAAAATGAATTATTTTGATTTACTTGGTATAAGTTCACGAAAACCTCGTCCATCATGTTTTTGAAGTGAATCAAAAAGAACTGTTCTTGCAGGCATATTAATACCCATTGCAAATGTTTCTGTTGCAAAAAGAACTTTAATACGACCAGTTTGAAATAATAATTCAACTGATTCACGTAATATTGGTAAAACTCCACTATGATGTATGGCAATACCACGTTTAGCCATTTCTTGTAAATTAAGAACCTAATCAATATACAATATGTGTTTACATATATACATGCTAGAAAGAAAATTACTTGTTGTAATTGTCGATCTGATTCATTAAGTCTTGATAAAACTTGTCGAAAAAATTGTGCAACATAATGTTTATCTTCTTGAGTATTTAAATCAAGTCCTTTAACTAATTCTAAATAATCATCACAACGTTTACGAGAGAAGACAAAACACACAACAGGTAATAATTGTTTATCACGTAACATATAAATTGTTGATGTCCATAATGTTTTATTCTACAAAAACAAAATAATAAATTCTATTGAAAGGAATCGATACATACTTGATTCGTGTTTAAATTATCATATCGTGTTTTCGATCCAAAACCATGTTGATGATCTTTTTGTCGTGCTGCTTTAGCTGCAACAGCTTGTGCATGACTACATTTAATAAAACAAAGAATTTCTTTTATTCTAATAATTTTTTATATACTTTCGATCAAGAAATTTTTGTTCAGCATCTATCATCATAAATAATTCTTTATTTGTTGCTGTACTATTTCCGGTATAAAGAAAATGTTCAAGTGGAACTGGTCGTTTAAAACTAAATTAAAATAAATATTTTATTTCTTATTTAATTAGAGATATATACTTACGTTGATATAACATAAACATTTCGTCGTTTCATTCGTCTAAATTTCCAAAAAAATAAAAATTCAAATGATAATATATATGTATTATCTTACCCAACCCATTCAGCAAATTCTCTCGCATTCGAAACAGTTGCGCTAAGCATAATTAAACCAACATGATCAGGTAACATAATTAATACTTCTTCCCAAACAAAGCCTCTCTAAAAAAAATAATCGTCTATCAATTAATTAAAATATTTTTATTTAACAAACTTCAGTATCATTTAAATAATGAATTTCATCCATAATAACCCATTCAAGAGATTTAAGAGTATTTGATCGATTATAAAGCATAGATCTATAAACAAAGCAAAAAATTCATATAAAACTTTTATAATATTTTTACCTGAGAATTTCTGTTGTCATTATTAAACATGATGCTTCATGATTAATTTGAACATCACCAGTAAGAAGACCAACATCATTGAAACGTTTTTTAAAATCACAATATTTTTGATTTGATAATGCTTTAATTGGACTTGTATAAAATGCTCTAAATAATTCAATTCTTACATATTATTCTTACTCAATAATATATATCATTTACTTGGTTGAATGATTTTGGGCAAGTGCAATTGCATATTCTATAAATAAATATTCTAGAGAAAACAAAAATTGAAATTAAATTATTCAAACCAGCAACAACTGTTTTTCCTGCTGAGGTATGTGCTGCAACAAAAACACTTTCATTATTTTCCAACCTTAAAATAGCTTGTTTTTGAAATGTATCTAATTCGAATGGATACTATGAATGAAATATGAATTAATGATAAATGTATATATGTATATGTATAATACTTCAATTGCCATATCTGGTACTCTTAAACGAAAATCTCCAAGCTTTTCATTAGGATTTAATTCAATTGCATATGAACGATTGATTTGTTGTTCAGCAAATTTATTAACATCTTTTGTTGTTGATTGAAATTTAAGTTCTGGTAATGGAATATCAAATAAACCTCCTAAACGTAATTTTGTTGGTATAGGAGCATCGATAGCAGATGATTTTTGTTGATTGACTGTTGATTGTAATACTATATCATCAAGATCAAATTTCCATTTATTAATATATGTATCAATTTGATTATCATAATTTGGTTTAAATGATGTAATTTTTGTTGAAGGTAGATCCATACCAAGGCCATCCTCATTTGACAATGATTTTAAAAGACCTTTTCAAAAAAAAGATAGCTTCAAATTATATTTCAGAATTTATAGATATATACTATTATCATTTGATGATAGTGTATCTGAATCATTTCGATTGATAATTGTTTCTAAATCTTGACCATTTTCATTTGATGTTTCATTTGTTGTTATAGGCAGACAAGGACATGAAATTGGAGCAGGTTGAAGAAGTTCATTTGGATAGAATGTTGCTTCATCTTCAAGGTTTATATTTAGAACGGGTTTAGATACAATTGGCACCTAAAAATATTTCTTAACAAATATTTTATAATTTTCTTTTTCTCGAAATTTTACTTCATGTAAACCTAGAATTTCGCCAGTAGTTAAATTTCTATCAGCAACAAGATCATATTCATCATTAAGAGCTTCAATTGTAAATAATCGATTAATATCAATATCATGTGTTGTTAATTGTCTAAATAAATAGAAATATGAACTCTTTGTTATCCAATAATATTTATAGATAACAATCTTTTTAAACTTTCATTTTCCTGGAAAAGAACTTTATATTCTATGTACAGTCCTGAACGACTTTTGGGTTTGAAGTCTTAAACTTTAGTCATCAGTCAGAAAGGATCAAGAGAGAAAATATTTAATACCGTTCATGTAGACTTGGATCAAGCCAAGGAAATTGATTTTCATCAACAAATGTATGAAGTAATGTATCAAAATCACTGCGAACAAATTGTTTAGATGTTGTCATTTTTTATCTACAATAGATTTTTAAAATTTATAACGCAAATATATGAGCGTAATGATTATTATTTCTTCTAAAAGGATTCGCCTGTATTATTCACGTACAGAAGGTTTGAATCATTGATTAACTAACATGCATTTTATATTATGAATAGATAATAGGATAGATATCCTAAGTTCTTTATAATGTCAAAATTTTGCATTTTTCAATTTAACTGATCGATAGATTTCAAACTCTTTTCTTTGTTATCCATATTAATATAAACTCATCATCATCTTTCAGTAGTATACAGTTTAGTACTAATGAATACACTTTTCATGAATCATTGACAATAAAATATGAAAAACGATTATTTCCAATAATATTTTGTCGATTCCAATTAATCAATCGGATGAACCAAATTTTCTTTTTCTGTTGTATAAACAACAACAATCTAGAATAATGTGTATTTACACCTTTCATTATCATTTCTTTCTTTGCTTTGATAATTATTGCATGAATCAAAAGAGTTTATTTTCCCCATTTTTTGCCTCTTCCTTTATTATTTTTTTTTCATCTATTTTTGTTTTGTTTTCAATTACACGATTTTCTTCGTTTTCATCATACAACTTTGACATCAGCAACTTCGATCA